ATGAAAATGGAACAAACGATGGCACATAACTGAATGGATACCGGCTCGCATTGAGGAATCGTAGTTCGAATTCTGTCAAATCCATTACATTCCCTTACTTGCTAATACTCTTGGAAAAGGTATGAGTCCTCGTTTCCACCCCCCTCCCAAGCTATGAGTAAATAGCAGGACATACCGGGTTCTGTACTCTTGGATTGCAACTGGTCTACCGCAGAAACAAATGACAACCAACTGCCATGATCTGCATCGACAGTCATATATCGAAAGATTATGATTTTTAAAGATTTATAAAGTTCAAAAATATGATCTAAATTGTTTAACACGTTGATATTTTCCACTTCGTATTTCAATCAAACTGATTCATTATGCCCCTTCCTTCAGTATCTGTCTATATTTCTGAGGTAAGGTAAAATGTACATGCAAAAAAACATTATTCGGACTATTGTCCTCATCTTTATTTACATATTTATTACAAATTTCCTTTCAGTATCTGTCTATATTTTTGAGATAAGGTATTATGTACAGTATTTACATTATTCGGACTATTGTCCTCATCTTTGTCTTTATATTTATTACAATGTTTCATATTTTCAGTATCTGTCTATATTTCTGAGATAAGGTTTCCATATGTATTTTTACATTATTCGGACTATTGTCCTCATCTTTGTCGCCATATTTATTACAACGTTTCGACCTTTTTATCTGTCTATATTTCTGAGATAAATGTATTATGTATGTATTTTATTATTCGGACTATTGTCCTCATCTTTGTCCTATATTTATAGATAATGTTTCTGCCGTTCATACGCTCCGGCCTTCTTCAAATATTGGAATGTCGAACTGAACCCATTATTTCGCTCACTGGGGTAGACTTAAAATATCAGACGTGCCATACTTAATGGATTTCAGTTATCAGTTATCTCCTGTTAATACCCTCCCCAAGTTCTCCAAGATGCTTTAATCAGGTATTGAACTCAAACTCTTCGGGACCTGGCACTGGATCTAACCAACGTCTTTATCCACTGTGCCATGTGTCCTTGAGGAAGAAAACTGTTAACCGGATGATATATTGTCAGCAATCTGTCGCTGGGGTGGGAAAAAATCCCTTAAATGGTCTCAAGGCAATCATGATAATGTTGTCTTCCTGTCTTTCTTCTCTCTTCTCTCGGCCGGGTATCGAAATGTGTTTTTGCATTCGGAGATAAAATAAGAACTTTAACAAAAGGTTTTTTAATAAATTAAATATTTTATTAACAATATACAGAAAATCTTCTCCATTTTATCAACACGTCAATATCAAGTACATTTTTTCAACAAGCCAAAAAATCGTTCTTTCAAAGCATTCTGGGATTTTAATTTCCCGAGACACGAAATTAACACGATGCATTTTCGTCGCGTAAAACTTAAACCTTTAAAACACTTTGTAAATTTTACATTCTCGTTCAACTAAGCCAATCAAAATTGAGATCGCTATTTTGCCTAGCAACTGAGCCCAAGGTCAGACCCAGAAGGTCTGCGCCAAAATATTACTGCCACTAAAACTTTATAGCCTGAAACTATTATTTAACATTATTTGCCCAACCATCAAAAAAAATAATTTATGAATTTTATTTCAACTACATTATATTTAACAAAAACAGATTATGCGATTGTCATAGGCCCTAGTCGACGAATAATTTATAATGCGATCATACGCCGACTAGGAGATATATACATTATCACATCTATGGAGAGATACGAGTTATCTCTCCCAGACCATGACAAATGGACAATTAGTAAACAAAAATATTTTAAAGAACACTGTTCGATTTAGATAATCAAACAGTAATCTTTTCCCAGGTTCGCTTCGGTTTCAACACAAATACTGATCCACAATTCAAGGATGAACGATAAGGCGTAATAAAGTTTGGTATAAGAATTTTAATATGTACATATACAAAATATTAAAATAAAAGAAAAAATATAATCATGAAATAAAGCATCCGACGACCAGAATCTCAAGACTTATGTTGGGATACCCAAAATATGCCTAAATCCAAGTGGATTCGACTGAACCCGAACGGATAAAAAAAGATAAGTATGAATAACTACCAATGCAGAAATCAACGCATAATTAAGAGATGGGATGGGATTTACATATTTCTATTTTGACATGTGGAAAGGTGTTTGTGAGAACATAAAGTTTATGGATGCATGTGTATCTTTCTAACACGGGTCCAAAACATATAGTTACTTATCGTTATATTCAGTTCTCTCTTTTTTGTCATTGTCCTTTTGGGAACTTCTCTCAAATTTCCTCTTTTCTTTCTTTTTTTTTTCTTTACACAAGTCTAATTTCACACACACGGATCTGGCTGCAACAGAGATATACACTTTCTTCCTCTCTCTAGTTTTCTCTTTTCTTTCTTTCTTCTTCAAACACAATTCAGCTTCAAACACGGTTCGGCTGCAACAGAGATATAAACTTTACAAAGACACAATTCTCTTTTCTTTCTTCAAACGCAGGCTGTATTCTCAATACATTGGAAATTTCCTTTGCGTCTTCTGTGATAAATAACTCGATTTATCTTCTTCAATTTGGAGTTAACGAACAGAAATACATATCCTTATATTTCTTATCCGGGTTGCTTGGGATGAATCGGACCAAGTTCCATCATTACGAAAATGAATCTCATCTTTCCGTTCATAAGTTATCAGCGCTTCGATTTCGAGTCTTGCTCCTTCAAAGACAAGACAGCAACTGACTTCAAGTAATTTTCTAATTCCACGTGTCTGCATTTTGGCGCGAATTCCAGTTCCTGCAATGCTTCAATTCGTATCATCATCAGTCCCAATACTAGATTCTGTCTAGACGTCTGTTGTTACGGGTAACTGGGTCAGTCAACCTCTTGACTTGCTTTCCCAAAATGTCTCGAGACTCCCACGTGACCTCTTCTGTCGTCAGGCGGAGATTAACCTTAATATGTGCGTGTATGCGTGTTTGGACTATCTACGTCCGTCACAGCGATAAATATCCAGAAACAATTGACCATCTTGTATAAGGTTGTATACTGTTAGCGCCCACTGAATATAAAACTCAGCATAATAGAATGGACAAATATCTATAGTGGAAGATATGCAACTTTTAAGGGTAGGAAACTGCAAGACACTGGAATGAACATCACCCAGGCCCGGTTACAAAGATAAGATATGTAACAATATTATGGAACTTTACAATACACACAGACAGAACAATTAAATCTATTCGCGCAGACATCGTAATCAAAGACCACAAAAATAGAATATGCTTTCTTGTTGACATGGCATTCCTTGCAGACTACAATGTATCTATGAAGATATTCCAAAAGCTATCAAAATACAAGGACCTTGAAATCGAAATGTCAGAAATGTGGTACATGGGAACATCAACAATCCCTTTTGTACAATCCTCGATTGATTGGAAAAAATTCCAATAGACTCATTGAAGGGATTCCTGGTAGCCCATGCCTCAAAGAAATACAAAAAATTTGTTCTCAAAGTACAGCCCACACCTTACGAAGGGCTTTATATATATATAAAATGTGTGTGTGTGTGTTTTAATATTTACTAAAGACGGTGATATGTGTCTTTTAGCTTATAGTTTTGTTGAAGTTATATTTTTCAGTCTGTCCATTGATTTCTTTAAAAATTGTAGGATATATAGATTAATGTCAAAAGAGATGTTTGGTTGGTTGATATTTTTTAGCAGTGTATCAACCTCTATGCGTTATTTAATGTCAAAATCTAAATATTTTGAACACAATTTGATGGCTTCAACTAAATACATTTTGAACGCAATTTTATGCCTTTAACTACAGATAAACATGTATTGGATATTGTGCTCGAAAATGTATTCTTGGTAATTGTACTTTAAAAAAAACTATTGTTAGTAATTCTACTATAAAATGTATTGTTGGTTATTTTGCTATAAAATGTATTGTTGGTTATTTTGCTATAAATTATGTTGTTGATCCGTTTACTATCAATACGCAAAGACAATTAAAGCTATTCACCCAGACATCGTAATCAAAGACCACAAAAATAGAATATGCTTCCTTGTTGACATGGCATTCTTTGCAGACTACAATATATCTATGAAGATATTCCAAAAGCGATCGAAAGACATGGACCTTGAAATCGAAATGTCTGAAATGTGGTACATGAAAGCATCAATAATCGCTTTTGTAGTTGGAGCCTATGGATTGATTGGAAACGATTCTAACAGACTCATTGAAGGAATTCCTGGCAGCTTATGTCTCAAAGAAATACAAATCGTGGTTCTCACGAGTACAGCCCACACCTTACGAAGGGCTTTATCTATGTAAAATATGTTTGTGGGTTTTTATTTATCTATTGATGTTTGAATTGGCCAGTGGAAAATCACATGATGCTATTTCTAACCTTAGGTCTCTGGGCGGTATCCGGAGTGATGTGTGTATACACCAGAAATCAAAGGAAATAATAATAATAATAATAATAATAATAATAATAATAATATCGAAATTATAAAGCAAAAACGATGGCAGGATAAACTGCTTCATGCTACATGCTCCTCTCGTTCCAAATAAATTAATGTAGACGAGCCAGTTACACATCCCTAGATAGATAGATGGAGAGATAGATACATATGAACAGACTGTAATTGATAGATAGATTATATGAATAGTTCTCATAGATAGATGACAAAGATAGATGATGAATATGAACAGACCGTGATCGATCGATGGATCTCGATCGATAGATGAATAGATAGATAGATAATCGATACATAGATAGATATAGATAGATAGAGCAGACTGGGATAGATAAATGTATATGATAGATAGATAGATAGATAGATAGATAGATAGATAGATAGATAGATAGATAGATATGAACAAACCGTGATCGATCGATGGATCTATCGATCGATAGATAGATAGATAGATAGATATGAGCAAACTGGGATAGATAAATGTATATGAAAATAGATAGCTAGATAGCTAGCTAGATAGAGATAGATAGATAGATAGATAGATAGATAGATAGATAGATAGATAGAAAGAAAAAAGAAAGAAAGAAAGAAACAGATAGGTGTCTACCTTTTTCCTGTAGTATAAACCGTAATTATTCCCACATTTGATTCTATTGTAAATAGAATAGAATGAATGCCTTTTGAGGGAAGGGAAAAGAAATGGGCAATATATATATATATATATATATATATATATATATATATATATATATAAACAAAAAAAAAAATCTTGGCAATAAATTAGGATTCACCAGAGTTGGGTTAAAAAGAAAAATAGATAGAGAACTGTACCGAATTTAGACGAGATGACAAAAATGAATTTTCCCCGAAAGAATATTATTTAAAATTTAGAGCCTTTCTTCCGGTATTAACGATCATTTTCACTTCCGTTTCATTTTCAAGCGAAGTGACACATTTAATTCTCAATTTCAACATCGCTTCTCAATTTCATCCGGAAACAAATATTTCGATATTAAAACAATGATTTTCTTTAGTGAAACTAACCGAACACCTTTCACCTCTCACTTTCTCTCTCTCTCTTTTTTTCTCTCTCTCTCTGTTTCTTTCTTTCTCTCTCTCTCTCTCTCTCTCTCTCTCACTCACTCTCTCTCATATATACGTTGGATTAATGGATATTGGCTTGGATTTAGGAATCGGAGAGCCGAGTTCGAATTCCATATTTTTGCTACACGAGTTCATCAGGCAAAGAGAGGTTATTTCTACATATTATGAAAAGGAATTAATTTATTAGTACTACAAACAAAAGACAATGGTTAAACATCAGAAAATACGAGTATCCATCAAAAATATTGTCTAAACGAAATAAATTAAAATTAACAATATATCAGATTTACCACATTTCCTATATATATATATATATACATATACATATATATATATATATATATATATATATATATATAAGGCAGGGTGTGTGTGTGTGTGTGTAACGAATGCACGACCGCAATTTTCGACGAATTTGCACCAAAATTTACATGCACATGCTCCAAGGTAACGGAAAAGCCAAGACAGACTTTGCATTTCCAAAACTCTCATCGATAGTGAAAATAATCAATTTTTCATGCTTCTACGGCAGTTTCATGTAGTTTGCGGCCATTTTCTACTGGCCAAAGTGAGAGCCAATAGCTGGCTGCCACAAATAGGCAGGAAGATTCTATTGGCCAGCGTGAGAGCCAACAGCTGAGTGACACAAATGTTAACATGCTAGCATGCAAAAAAATATCGATAGCTGCATTCGTCCCAAGTGGGAAAAATTTAAATCTACATGTTACTTTACTCCAATTGGCTCATTCTCTTGCTTAAACTCAACGTTGATTCTGATTCCGCAGAACTGGGTTGGGTGTGAAAAAGTATTTGTTGTTAACATTCTTTTTTCATTCGGTTTTTCCAGTTATGAGTCCTTTTTTAAAGCTGATCGTTTTGTGTTCATTTTGTTTAGTTTTTTTTTTCGTAACAGTTTTAATGTTTAGTATAGAGCTTAGAAAAAATTCGCAGTGTGAGATAGGCAAGAAGTAAGGCATGTATAGTTCAGCACGGCAAAGGGCACTTCTTTAAAGGCAAGGAAGGGCAAAAATATTTTTAAGTCAAGTGATAGCGATTGCTGTATGAGTCGTACGATTTTTGAATCAAGCACGGGTAACACCGGACCATGCTGCTCGTATATATGTATATATATATATGTATGACAAAATATAGTTTTAAGTGATATATTTATGGATAAAAGTGCTCAATATCAGGGAAAGACCGTATGTAAATATAAAAGTGAACATTGAAGTCAACATTCAGGAGGGAGAGTCTGTTTCATGCATAAACGCAATTGTCAGAACATATATATATATATATATATATATATATATATATGTGTGTGTGTGTGTGTGTGTGTGTTGTGTCTGTGTCAGTGCGTGTATGTGTTTATGGGTTTATATGTGTGTGTGTTTATATATATATATATATATATATATATATCAATACATTTTATGTTTATACATTCTTTATATATATATATATATATATATATATATATATATATATATATATAGATATAGATATATAAAATGTCTTTTTTAAGCAGGTGTTTATCAGTAACAAATAAATTCACCTTCTGTGTAGAAGAAGTTCCATTACATATCACACATTTCGTGCAGTCATACATATATATATATATATATATATATATAAGAAGAAGAAAACACACACACACACATATATATATATATATATATATATATATATATATATATATATATATGTATGTATGTGATGGAAAGTTTTTCAGTATTCAAGCCAACATTTGAATCAACGAAGTCTTCCTTCATGATAAAATCACTTAAAATTTCATTAGGGTAAATTTTTTCTGACCAAATCTTTCTAATTTGAATGAGGTCAGGGACTTCTTTTTTTTGGAAAAAAAAGGGGTTAAAGATCCCTAGTCCGCAGTAAAATCCAATTAACGAACATCCGATAACGGAAAGTAAAATGTTGGGCGGAAATGGAGAAAGAATAAAAAAAAGGTAAAAAAAAGAATGAAAGAAGAAAAAAGAAAAGAAAGGAAGTAAAAAAAGGTGTGGGTTAAATGGGATGAAAAAAAAAAAACAGAAAAGAAGAAAAAAGAAAGAAAGGAAGACGGAGCAGGTAGAATGGGATAAAAAAAAAGAAAGGGAGAAAAAATGGAGTAGGCCAAATTGTATGAAAAAAAAAAGAACGTAAGAAAAAAAGGAAAGGAAGAAAAAAGAAAGAAAGACAAAAAGAAAGGAAGAAAAAAGGGAGGAAGGAAAAAAGAAAGGAAGAAAGGAAGAGATAAGGAGTGGATAAAATGGGATAAAAAAAAGAATGGAAGAAAAAAGGAAGAAAGGAAAAAGAAGCAGGTAAAATGAGTTGAAAAAATGAAAGGGAGAAAAATGATACGGGTGAAAAGGAATTGGTAAAATGGCTTAGAATTTAAACTTACAAAAAATAATGGAACTGAAAAATAATAGAAATAAAAAAAATTGAAAGAGAAAAATATTCCAAATGAAGTGACTTTCATCAAATTGCATCATGGGAAAAAATTGCATCATGGGAAAAAAGCCTTGGATGCTAATAAAAAGAGAAGAGGCAAATAAACAAAAGAGAGGTAAAGTTATGAAGGCAGGAGGAGTAGGAAGAGGAGTTGCATTACTGATTGGATAGAGAAAGAAAGCGAAGATAAATAAGGGAGAAGTATTTGAAAGGGTTATCAACAGAAAGAGTGATAAACGGAGGGTGAAGTGAGGAGACGAAACAGAGTGAAGATAAAAACAACAGGAGGAATACAGTGGCGGAAGTAAAAGCTGTCGTCTATATAAGTGGAGGCCAAAGAGACGAGTAGGAATGACAGATTGGGTAAGAATAGAAGGAAATACAAGGGAGTATAAAGAGAATAGTAAAGAGATATAGAGAGAAAATTACAGAGCAATGAGGAAGAGAGAAGAAAAAGATCGTTCATATACGGGGGAGGACAGAGAGCGGATAGAGAGAGAAGATAATGTGAGAAGATAATGAATGCACACATGAGTGACGGAAAAGAGAGATGTAGGCAGAGGATAAAGAGATGGTGATGAAAGGAGAAGAAGAAACAAAGGGCTCATGTAGAGGGAGGAACAGAGCGCAGAGAGAAAGAGAAAATATTGTGGAAAGATAAAGGGAGCGCTTAGAAATATAGAGTGAGAGAAAAGAGAGATAGAGAAAGGCGATAAAGAGAGAAGAACAGAGCAATGATGAAGAGAGAAGGAATCGAAATCATATAGAGGGGGGGAACATATTGCAAACAGAGAGGGAAGGTATTCGCGAGAAGATGAATAGAGCTTATATAAATACAGGGTGAGGGAAAAGAGAGATGTAGACAGGCGATAAAGAGAGAAGAACAGAGCAATGATAAGGAGAGAAGGAATCGAAATCATATAGAGGGGGGGACATATTGCAAACAGAGAGGGAAGGTATTCGCGAGAAGATGAATAGAAAATATAAATACAGGGTTGAGGGAAAGAGATGTAGACAGGCGATAAAGAGAAAAAACAGAGCAATGATAAGGAGAGAAGGAATCGAAATCATATAGAGGGGGGGACATATTGCAAACAGAGAGGGAAGGTATTCGTGAGAAGATGAATAGAGCTTATATAAGTACAGAATGAGGGAAAAGAGAGATGTACTACAGATCAATGATGAAGAGAGAAGAAACTGAAAAGGGGGGGATAGATCGCAAAAACAGAGGGAAGATGTTCGCGAGAAGATGAATAGAACACATTATTTACATTATTCGGACTATTATCCCCATCTTTGTCACCATATTTATTACAACGTTTCGGTCGTTGTACGCTCCGGCCTTCTTCAGGTGGTTGGAATGTCGAAGTGAACCCTTTATTTTGCTCACTGGGGTAGACTGTTCCAATTTCTACGTGCCAGTTGTCAGTTATCTCCTGTTAATTCCCCTCTCCAAGTTCTCCACTGCCTTAAACGTGTATTGAATTCACAATCTTTGCGTCCTGTCACTGAATCTAACCAACGTCTTTATCGACTGTGCCATGTGTCCTTGAGGGAAATTAACAGGAGATAACTGATAACTCACATCTATTAGAGATGGCACGTGGAACTAGAACAGTCTACGCCAGTGAGCGAAATAAAGGGCTCCGTTCGACATTACAACCACCTGAAGAAGCCCGGAGAGTACAACGGCCGAAACGTTGTAATAAATATGGCGACAAAGTTGAGGACAAGAGTTCAAATAATGTAAATAATGTCTTTCTAGTCGTTATTATTAAAAACATTAGAAAGTTATGCAAATTTTTCTCTCATGATAGCTATCTCGATAGTAGGACATTCAATTAAATAAATGTATTGCAGATAATTTTGTTTATACAGAAATTTTAGAGCGGAAAAAGAATTCTTATGACAACTCATTTCGCTCTGGAGCACGGGTAGTTGGCTAAAAAGAAAAATGTAACGTCAGAATAACAACAGCATATTCTAAAATTTACATTATTCGGACTACTGTCCTCATCTAATCACTGGATCTAACCATCGTCTTTATCCAATGGACCATAGACACTATTCCAATCACCTGAAGAAGACCGGAGTGTACAACGACCGAAACGCTGTAATAAATATGGCAACAAAGATGAGCACAATAGTCGGAATAATGTAAATAGTGTAGATAATACCTCATATCAGAAATGTAGACAGATACTGAAGGGCCGAAAGGTTCTAATAAATATGACAACAAAAGATGAGGACAATAGTCCGAATAATGTAAATAGTGTAGATAATAACTCATCTCAGAAATATAGACAGATACTGAAAGGTCGAAATGTTGTAATAAATATGGCGACAAAGATGAGAACAATAGTTCGAATAATGTAAATAGTGTATATAATACCTCATCTCAGAAATATAGACATATAATGAATAGAACACCTATAAATATAGAGTGAGTTTAAACGAGAGATATAGACAGGCGATAAAGAGTGGAGTAGAGAGAGAGAGAGAGAGAGAGAGAGAGTCGGAGGTATGAGACATAATATATGGAGAAAACATGAATCAAGGGGGTATTTTTAAAAACTAACGAACATATAAAGGACTGAAATAAATTTATACCGGGTTTTTATGCTTGCTCGTTCGTATCTTTGCTAGCTAATCCCTATTGTAGACGCCTGCCAAAGCATATTTTTGCTTGTTCAACACCCACAGTGTCATTCATGGATCTATGGTTTATACCTTAGTTTGATTATGCTGCGATAAGCATATTACCTGATCAATAATCTAAACAAAAATCAGTACCTCAAACACTCGGTCACGAATACTTTCTAGTCAACTTCCCCCCTAGGTATATATTTCATTTCAAACCTTGGGTTAATCCGAATTATGCTTTTCAGGCATTTTCCAAACGTTGCCGCTGGATCGCCGTTAACTAATTAATAAAGAAGTCACTTTTCTGATAAATCGACCGTCGTGAGATTTAAAACCCTCTTTGTGGTCGAATTAACATTTCTAACCACTCAGCCATTTATAAAAAACTGAATGTCCGAAAAGGTATTCTGATAGAATTAATACATGTCTGGATAAAGAAGAAGTGAATAAATAGGATTAGAACAAAAGATCGGGAGAACAAGAAGAAGAAGCTGGAGAAGAAGAAGAAGAAGAAAAATTAGAAGAAGAAAAAAGAAGAAGAGGGAGTCAAAGAGGGATTAGAAGAAGGGGAGGAGAAAGAAGAAAACTCTTTTAAGAAATTGAAGAAATAAAAAGAAAGAGGGGAGAGGAAGAAGAGGGTCGTCTTTAGAAGAAGAGAAGAAGAAGAAATATAAAAAGGAAAGAATTGGGGGGGAATTAAGAAGAAAGAAAGAAGGAGAGAAGAAGAAAAAAATGAAAAGAATAAAGTTTGCAAAAAAGAAGATAGATTTTGATCCAGGAGGAGGAAGGAAGAAGAAAAAGATGAAGAAGAAGAAGAAGAAGAGAAGGGGAGAAGAAGAAGAAGAAGAAAAGAAAAAGAACAAAAGAAGAAGAAAACATGTATAGAGGGAGGTATAAGAAGAAGATAAAGAATTTTAATTGAAAATGCATCGAGAGATGTAAAGAGCGAAAAAAAAAGACGAAGAAATTTTTTTTTCTCAGGTAGAGGGGGAATAGAGAGAGAATATATAGTGGTTCAATGAAGGGAGAAGGAGTACAGAACACAAATAAAGGAAAGATAGAGAGAGGTAAAGGAGAGGTATAGTGAAAGGAAAAGAGATATGATAGAGGATAAAAAGAGGAGGAGGAATAGAGAGAATATATGAGATAGTATAAATGTAATAGAAAGAGTGTCAAGGAAGGAGAAAGATATGAGAAAGTGACGAGAGCGTTTCAAAATGATTAGTAATTTTTTTACAATAAAAAAACAAGTTAAAATTAACTAAAAATCAAAACTTAGTAAATTTGTAAAAGCTGTATTTGTGGATGACAATGTGGCAGAAAAATGTATGTAAATTTCTACATGTCAGAACAATGTAAGCTAATTGAATAACAAAGAAGAGAAAAAACATCTATGTAATGCGTTTCGACCTCTAAAAGGACTTCATCTCATTGAGGGAATTATATATGTGTAGAAGCAGTTGAAGATATAAACGTAAACATCGCTTATAGTTATTCATCGAAGGGAAACGCTGACGCAGTTCTTGCGTCCAACGTTTCTCGACGCATAGCTTAGCCGCGTTCTGTGGATGATATTCCTTTTGCTTAAAAAACGAAGTTAACCTTTGCAAGGTCTAAGAATAAAGATTTTATTACAGAGTAAAAGAAACCACTGTGAACAAGGTTAAAATGACAGCAAGCTGCAAGGAACCACCAGAAGTGAAAAAGAAGGAAAAAAACTAGAGGGAACTGGAGACCCAATCTCAAACAGGAAACAAAGAATAAATCCTTTCTTTCTGTTTGCAAAAAAAAATCTAGGAGGATTAGAAAATGACGATGAGGCAAACCTATCTACTCCTATTGAAGAATAAATGTAAATAAGTAATAAATAAAATTTAAGCTGATGCGATAGAAGTATAAAGCTGAGGAAGACTTTAGAAGGAACCAGAAGCAAGATATATATTCCTACTTCTGTTCAAAAGACATGGGAGGTGTATGAACCGGACAATAGGCGAACCTATCTACTCCTAATTTTTTTTTTTTAAATACAACGTGTGTTAGCACGTGCGATACCCTGTCTTCATCAATATGCTGACCAGGGGTGATATCACAATTTCGGTGGCTATGAAAATACCGCCACCTCAGAACCACCAGCAAAATTTGCCACCAGGCAGGGTATGAAGATAAGCTAACTAATTGTTCCTTTAAGTAACATATATCATACTCGAAAGGCTGCATTTCGTTCTTTCTTGAAATCTCCTAAATTTTGGCTCTCAAAAGGACATGAAACCAAAGAGCACCATTTTTCAATACATTAAATGTAAAAAAAGATTAAATTCTTTACATACCATAAATACTCGTGTAACACGCATTCCCGTGTAACGTGCGATCCCGTGTAACGCGTAATCTCGCGTATCGTGCAACCTCCTAATTTACAATTATATAAAAAAAGATTTTACCAAGTATCTTGTGTATCATACGAGTTGCTTTTTAAGAGACCAAACTGCAATAGAGTGACCTCTTTTCCTCTATCTCTTTATCCCATCTTCTAGTTGAATAAGTTAAAAAAGTAAAAGAGAATGATAAAAGTATCATTAGTAACGCTATACTCGTTGTGTAAACGCGTACAGCCATAAACAACCGAACGAGAAACAGCTAAACATCTTATAAACAATGGAAAATATGCATATTCGCTATGTTTGTATTTTATATGATACTAATATGTGAATATTACATGCATTAGTATTGGATACAGTCAAGTAAATCATCAGTTTTATCAAAATCATGTTTATTTTAAATATTGGTGTATTTTTTTGACTACAGTAAATGGATATATAGTTTGGACAACGGCGTAGTCACGGCAAGCAATACATAGGCTAATTTTATATCTATGATGCGACCCTCTTAAAATTAGCTTCAAAATTAGATCTTCAAAGGATACGCGAGTAGAAACAGTAAATCGCAAAATTAATTTTTCGAGCATTTTATTAATAAACAGATTAACTTATTACTTTATTAATTTTTTAAATTTACAAATGGAATAACTATTTCGGTTTTCATTGCATATTCTTTTATGTACCGTGTCATTTCGGAACATGGGCGACCATGACTCTCCACAACCTCCTCCTATCTTTTGTAGGCCTTAGCATCTATTGTTCCTTTGCCCAGTCCCCAAATCTACGTTCAGCCATCCATTCACAGAGAATCGCCTAGGAGGCCCACTAACTGCTCCTCTACCATTTTCCATAGATTTGTCATGTGAGTGTCAAATTATCCAAGCCTACCTTCTTCATTATTTGTCCAAGTTATTTCAACTTTCTCTAACTTTGAGTATTATTAATCTTTCTGGTTCCATTTTTATTAAGATGTCGTTTCTTACGCGATAAACTAATAAATGGTCAGCATCATTCTGTATAAAAAAAGTTTTGTTAGAAAAATCTTCAATTGATAGGAGAAACTCTGAACTTGTCTGAGATGAAATTATTATGATTATTTTGCATTATTTAACATTATTCGGACTATTATCCTCATCTTCATTGTTATTGTTCACAACATTTCGGATGTGGGCATCTCTGCATGATAAAAATAAACCAATTAAAGATGATTCTTTTCATTATTTGGATAATTAAAATCCTCATTTTTCATTTGAGCTCATAGAATTTCGGCTTCAATATCTCTGAAATGAGGTAAATCGGGGTTGCATTGAAATATTCGGACTGTTAAATATCTTCATTGATATTCAAAACATTTCAAAGTCTATATCTCCATTGTCATGAATAAGATTTAATAATGTCAGATGTAAAGATATTATCATTAAAAGCATTCTTTAACAGATTTGACTGTTATCAAAGATCTTCATTGCCGTATTCACACTGTTTCGGCCGTTGTAAATTTACCATGACTTCTTCAGGTCATTGGAAATTTGATTCGAACCCTTTATTTGGCCCAGTGGATAAAAATACATTAGATCCAGTGAAAACTTTCCCCAAATAATTTGTGAGTTCAATAGGGCACCACAGCAGTGATGAACTAACTTGGATGAAAAACACATGAAAATAAATGAGAGAAGGAAGAATAATGATGAGGATAACAGTCCCGAATGAAAAAATAATGCAAAGTTTATCATAAGATTGTCATCTCAGAATTTGAGGCAGTAATGTTGTGAATACGGCAATGAAGATGAGGATAATCAGTTTAGAATATTGCAAAGAAAAGATCAGCAAAATCATAATCATCATGTCAGAGATATAGAGGCTGAAACGTTGTGAATATGGTAATGAAAATGAGGATAACAGTCCGAATAATGTAAATAATGCAAGTAATCATAATACCTCATCTCAGAGATATAGAGGCTGAAACGTTGTGAATATGGTAATGAAAATGAGGATAGCAGTCCGAATAATGTAAATAATGCAAGTAATCATAATACCTCATCTCAGAGATATAGAGGCTGAAACGTTGTGAATATGGTAATGAAAATGAGGATAGCAGTCCGAATAATGTAAATAATGTCAATCATAATAAACCTCATCTCAGAGATATATGAGGCTAAAAACCACCTTTGAATATGGTAATGAAAATGAGGATAACCAGTCCGAATAATGTAAAAAAATGCAAGTAATCATAATACATCATCTCAGAGATATAGAGGCTGAAAATTTTGAATATGGTAATGAAAATGAGGATAACAGTCCGAATAATGTATATAAAAAAAAGTAATCATAATACCTCATCTCAGTGATATAGAGGCCGGAATGTTGTGAATAAAAATGAAGATGAAGAAACAGTTCGAATAATGTAAATAATGCAAGTAATCATAATACCTCATTTCAGAGATATAGAGGCTGAAACGTTGTGAATATGGTAATGAAAATGAGGATAACAGTCCGAATAATGTAAATAATATTTAATCATAATACCTCATCTCAGAGATATAGAGGCTGAAACGTTGTGAATATGGTAATGAAAATGAGGATAACAGTCCAAATAATGTAAATAATGTGTCTAATCATAATACCTCATCTCAGAGATATAGAGGCTGAAACGTTGTGAATATGGTAATGAAAAATGAGGATAACAGTCCGAATAATGTTTTGTCATAATGAAAACCTCATAATACCTCATCTCAAGAGATATAGAGGCCGGAATGTTGTGAATACGGCAATGAAGATGAGGAAATAGTTCGAATAATGTAAATAATGCAATATAATCATAATACCTCATATCAGATATATATAGGCGAAAAATTGTGAATATGGTAATGAAAAGAGATGGGATAACAGTCCGAATAATGTATATAATGCAAGTAATCATAATACCTCATCTCAGTGATATAGAGGCCGAAATGTTCTGAATACGGCAATAAAGATGTGGCTAACAGTTCGAATAATGTATATGATGCAAGTGATAGGAGATTGTCCAGCATTCTCTGCCATACAAGATGGTTGAAGGATTATGACAGAATGAACCCAATTTAATTTTCAGTGTTTCTAACGAAATTTTCCCATTATAATATTTCAATGTAGAATTTTCCAACATCTTCGAATCTGGATTTTGATATTTCTTTTTTTTGTGATTCTGTCCTCTTATAGGTCTTAGTCTTTTCTTCCAGCTTTCCTTTATTATCTTGTCTACGATGTCCTCTATATGTTTCTGTTACTCTTACTTTATAATATGAAGATTGCCGACTGCATGCACCAACATTACGCTGTTATGAGAATTTTAAGTAACATTAGACTGAATAATTTCTTTCAATTATTGGATCAAAAATAAAATCTGACAAAGTCATGAAAGAATCTAAATTTTTCTGTTCAGGATCTCATTGTTGAAAGAAAGAAGTTCATAAGCGATACAGGGAAATCAAAAGGTAAATTTAAAAAGTTTCAAATTTAAAAAGTAAATTTTAAAAATTTGAAAAAAAAGGTTAATGTGATGTTATGTGTAGGTAGAAAAATGAATGAAGGAAAGTCATTAAGAGAAAAGAAAAGGAAGAGAAGATAGAAACTGAAAGAACGAGAAATTGATATTGAAAGAATGAAAGATTCGTAGACGAAAGAAAGAAGGAAAATGCAAACGAAAGATTGTTATAAAAAAATAGAAAGATGAAAGATATGGAGAAGAAAGAAAGAAAGAAAAAGAAAAAGAAAATACAAATGAAGAATGATATCAAAAAGAAAGTGATGTAAGACATGTAGAAGAATGAAAGAAAGAAAGAAAGAAAATTTTTTTTTTTTTTTAATGAAAGAAAGAAGAAAAAATTTTAAACGAGACATTGATAATAAAATGAAAGAAAGATGAAAGATATACAGAAGGAAATCAAGAAAAAAGAAAAAAAAAAAAAAAATGAAAGCAAGAAATTAAAAAAGAAAAATTTAAATGAAAGAATGATATTAAAAAAGAAAATGATGTAAAAATGTGAAAAATAAAAAAGAAAGAAAGAAAGAAAGAAAGAAAGAAGAAAATGCAAATGAGATATTGATAATAAAAATAGAAAGATGAAAAATATGTAGAGGAAAGAAAGAAAGAAAGAAAGAAAGGAAAAAAGAAAGAAAAAGACATTGTTAGTAAAAATAGAAAGATGAAAGATATGTAGAAAAAAAAAGAAAGAAAGAAAGAAAGAAAAAAAAAAAGAAAGGAAGAAAGAAAAATTATCTCAAAGCAAGAAACAAAGATAAAAAAAAATGAAAATGAAATATGATACTAAAATGAAAACGATGAAAAATATAAAATAGAAGAAAAAAAAAAAAAAAAATAAAAAAATGTAAGGTTTTGATTTTTTTTTTAGAAAGATGAAAGATATGTAGAGGAAAGAAAGAAAGAAAGAAAGAAAGAAAGAAAGAAAGAAAGAAAGGAAAAAAGAAAGAAAGAGACATTGTTAGTAAAAATAGAAAGATGAAAGATATGTAGAGGAAAGAAAAAAAGAAAGAAAGAAAGAAAGAAAGGAAGAAAGAAAGAATGAAAGAAAACAAGAAAGAAAGATAAAAGAAAATGAAAATGAAAGACTGATACTAAAATGAAAACGATGAAAGATATGTAGAAGAAAGAAAAAAAAAAAGAAGAAAAAATGTAAGTTTAAGACCCAGATTTTAAAAAATAGAAAGATGAAAGATATGTAGAGGAAAGAAAGAAAGAAAGAAAGAAAGAAAGAAAGAAAGAAAAAAGAAAGAAAAAAAGAAAAAAAGAGACATTGTTAGTAAAAATAGAAAGATGAAAGAAGATGTAGAGGAATTCAAAAAAAAAAAGAAAGAAAAAAAACGTTAAAGAAAGAATGAAAGTAAACAAGAAAGAAAGATAAAAGAAAATGAAAATGAAAGACTGATATTAAAACGAAAACGATGAAAGATATGTAGAAGAAAGAAAAAAGAAATAAAGAAGAAAATGTAAGTGTGGGATTGATTTTAAAAATAGAAAGATGAAAGATATGTAGAGGAAAGAAAGAAAGACAGGAAAAATAAAGAAGGAAAGAAAGAAAATATATACGAAAAATAAAAAAGATATGTGGAAGTAAAAAAAGAAAATAAGAAAGGAGGAAATAACGAAATAGAAGCAGAAAATGCAAACGAAACATTGCTATTAAAAAATAAAAAAAAAATGAGAAACGTTTTGGAGAAAAAAAGAAAGAATGAAAAAAAGATTAAAAAAAAAACACAAATAATCAAAGGAAAAGTTCGCCATTAAAAATATGCAAAAAAAAAAGTAAGAAAAGAAAGTAAAACAAAAAAGGAAAAGAAGAAAGATGTACATATTAGGTAGAAAGTAGAAAGAAACGAGGCAATTTGCAAACAACGCGAGATTTGGAGCGTCATGGGATTGCAGGCGAGAACGTCACGTCATTGAAATGGTGAAAGGGACGCGCTTCTGGACTAACGCCTTAATACGTTAACTCGCCGTGAAATGCCATTGCCACGATCTCCCGCCATCTTTCTTGACACGTTTGGCCGTCGGCAGGTGGCGCCCCAGCATAAATCAAAGAGGTAACGCGTGGAGCAGTGGCGGGAAAATGCTCAGGTGGGCGATGAGGGTCCTTCGTTGCACAGACAATAGCGATTAGTAATATCAGGCATTGGAACGAGGAACGGTGGTGCCATTCTTCGAGTTGGGCTGAGTAATGAACAAAATGAGGGAATATTTGGAAAAAAAATGTACGGTGAAAAAAAAAATCTATGGACGGGTTCCTGGGTCTGTGTTTAGTTGTAACAGAAGTGAATAAAGAGGGTTAGGGTTAAGATAATATATTGTGATGGTTTTATGTATTAAATTATTCAAACAGACTTTTTTTTTTTGTCCGTTATAGAATACATAAAAATAACAAATACACACACACTAAACACACACCTATTATATATATATATATATATATATATATATATATATATATATATATATATATATATATATATGTATTTTATTTGTATGCAAAGGAATATGTTCAAACTCTATCGTTGATATCGCGCATTTTTCAATATAGTAGATTTTGTTAATATATATATATATATATATATATATATATATATATATGGTTTGTAAACAGTTAGTATTACGGCTAATAATGCAAGACTCTTCGGTAAATCGAATCGAGTTCTCTCAGTCACTGTGTGTTTATCTAAAAATTAAATACGCTTAAATTCATCTCAGTCGGGTTTCGATCCTAGCTAGAGGCAACCGAATGTCTAACCACACTGATGAGCTCTGATACAGCGAAATAGTCTCTAAGTGAATGCCAATATATATATATATATATTAAAGAAAAACAGACCACTTTAAGGTTCCATTATAATAATTTATTTCACCAGAGTCCTTTTTTCGTTTCACTTTTTCGAAGTGCTATCTGATGATCCGGCATCCTTTAAAAGGGCTCTGGTGAAATAAATTATCATAATGGAACATTAATATGGTCTGTTTTTCTTTAAAATATTAGCTCTGGACTTACATTGGGCTCTCAGGATTTCATCCTCCTTGGGATTACCCATATCGGATTACCAAGTTTTTCATAAAATATATATATATATATATATATATATATATATATATATATATATATCAACCATGAACGTAGACACAATATCTTGAATGTGTTTTGGAAAATGAAAACATTCTATAAATACATACATACAGCAATCTATTTCTTGTTAACAGTTAACATATTCCAACCTTGAAAATGGCTATATGTATAGCCGAAAGCGCTCGGTTCAAAAGAACAACTGGATAGTTTTTATAGAATTTATCATCCGAAAGGTAAAAAAAAAACCTTAGATCGCATGAGAAATTGTATAAAAAAATAAATCAAAACCCTTTACTCTGCTATTCCTTGAAATGTGCATAAAAGAAGAATCACTGCTACACACACACACACACACACACACATTTATATATATATATATATATATATATATATATATATATATATATATAAGATAAATATAATTTGAATGCATGGTATATTTATAGATTAAAAAAACTCAGTATCAGGGTTAGAATTTATGTAAATATAAAAGTGGACATTGAAGGTCAACACCGAGCGGCGATAGTCTGTTTCATGCTTATTTTACTGACTTCAATGAGACACCATTATATAATATATATATATATATATATATATATATATATATATATATATAAAGAGACAAAATGGAAAAACATAATTTGAGGCGCGTTTCATCCGTTAGGACATCATCAAATTGGATTTGTTGACGTTGTTGTGACTACGCATGCATATGAACGAGAGGGGCTGGGAGTTTCAAAATTTTTTGAAATAATTTTTTGTGATCTTGCCAAATCCATCTCTTTTCTTTTTTTTTCTATTTTTTCTTCCTTCATCTTTGTTTTTAAATATCGCACAATAACAAAATCCGCCAACAATAGAGAAACGTCATAAGAACCTGGACGCAAATTTACTTTATTTAATTTAATTCGAGTTTAAAACACATTATAGATATTTTCATCACAATGAATTTCTCTTTTAATTAATGCGTTTATAAAATGTCTCTTTTGTCTTCATATTGTCTTTTGTTTAAATTTCGTGAAGTTTCACCGATGTATACTTTATGGCAATTCCCGCGGTTCATAAATTAAATTAGTCCTTCAAGTTTTGTTTTGTATTGATTAATCTTTTATTGCTTCATCTAGTTGTGACAAATTTTATGCTGAGTTTAGATTAATTATTTTCGCTTGTAGTTGTGATGAAGTTAGTAGGTAAAATAATATATATTTTTTATCCGTTGGGTTTTTCATGAAGTACAGCTTCTCTATATTGGTATATATTATGAGCCTTTTCTTTTGCTTTGAATATGATATAGGATATTGAAGGGTCTCCAAAGTATTTTTACTATATTTCTCCTCATCGTGTAAATATTAAGAGCTGCATATTCTTAGTGCTCTTGTAGACCTCAAGGACACATGGCACAGTGGATAAAGGCATTGGTTAGATCCAGTGACAGGACCCAAAGAGTGTGAGTTCAATACCCGGTTAAGGCAGTGGAGAACTTTCAGAGGGGAATGAACAAGAGATAACCTTATAACTGACATCCATCAAACATGGCACGTGGAATTAGAACAGTCTACCCCAGTGAGCGAAATAAACGGTTCAGTTCGACATTCTAACCACCTGAAGAAGTCCGGAGCGTACAACGGCCGAAACGTTGTGATAGATATGGCGAAAAAGATGAGGACAATAGTTCGAATAATGTAAATAATAAAAACAGACCAGCTGTAATACTTTAATTCACCAGAGACCTTTTAAAGTACCCTGGATCATCAGACATCACTTCCAAAAGGTGAAATGAAAAAATGAAATGAAAATTTACACTTTTGACGGGTAGTATTAAGTTTATGTAATTTAACAGAGAGGGTAGCGAGGAGTGGTGTGAGAGACATAGTCGAGTTTAGAGAGGGTTTATTTTTATATTTCTTTCTATCATACTTAGTATTGGGGAAGGAGGGACTAAACATTTAATCCGTAAGCTTAACGGAAATGATATGTTGAAAGGGAAGGAGAGAAGAGAGAAAAAGAAAAAGAAAAAAGAAAGGAGGGGGAAATAAAGAGAAAGGAGATGTATTTAAGGTTTACGGAGGAAGAAGAGGGGTGGTATAGTTTTAGCAATTTAGGTAAAAAAAGAAAAAGATTTTAGCGTTTGGTAGTAATTTAAATGTTAAAAAAAATCCACGAAGAAATTAATTTAATGCTTGCTAGCAATTTAAATATTTAACTCTTTTACAAACAATTTAGGGATTTAATATGAGTTAAATACTATATTTAAAAACACATAAATAAAAAACATATTAAAAAATATTTAAAATATAAAAGTTTACTAATAGTAATCTTTTAATATTGTAAATGACTGTTAAGGTAACGTCTTTATCAGTTTTAGTCTAATTCATGAATGTAATTTGTAACTATTTTTAGATGGATTTAATATATATATATATATATATATATATATATATATATTTATAATATATATTATTTCTGTTTTTGTTTTTCCCAATTTATAATTGATTCTTGTAAATTCCATCTTAAAAAAAATATTGTCTTTTTGTTTAAATTTCGTGAAGTTTCACTGATGAATTCTTTATTAAATCCCGGTTCATTGATTAAATAGTCCTTGAAGTTTTGTTTTGTAAATGATTAATCTTTTATTGCTTCATCTAGTTGTGACAAATTTTATGATGAGTTTAGATTAATATATTTTCGATGTAGTTGTATGAAGTTAGTAGGTAAAATAATATATATTTTTTTATCCGTTGGGTTTTTCATAAGTACAGCTTCTCTATATTATATATATTATGAGCCTTTTTTTTTGCTTTGAATATGATATAGGATATTGAATTTCTTCTCAAAGTATTTTTTTTATTTTCCTCATCGTGTAAATATTAAAATAGATGCATATTCTTAGTGCTCTTGTAGACCTCAAGGACACATGGCACAGTGGATAAAATCCATTGGTTAGAAAAGTTACAGGACCAAAAGTTCTTCCTTCTATACTGGTTAAGGCAAATCATAACTTTCAGAGGGAAATATGAACAAGAGAAAACCTTATAACTTTCGTCCATCAAACATGGCACGTGGAATTAGAACAATCTACCCCATTGAATTGAAATAAACGGTTCATTTGTTTTTATTCTAACCATATCAAGAAGTCCGGGCTATAACGGAATAAACGTTGTATATAAATATGGCGAAAAGAATGATATGTTACAATAGTTCGAATAATGTAAATAATAAAAATCAGACCATTGTAAAGAATACTTTAATTCACCAGAGACCTTTTTAAGATTTTTACCCTGGATCATCAGACATCACTTCCAAAGAATGAAATGAAAAATGAAATGAAAAAATTACACATTTGACGGGTAGTATTAAAATTATGTAATTTAACAGAGGTAAATGATAGAGGAAAGATTAGTGGTTGGACATAGTCGAGTTTAGAGAGGGTTTAATTTATATTTCTTTTCTATCATACTTAGTATTGGGGAAGGAGGGGACTAAACATTTAATCCGTAAGCAAAACAGAAATGATATGTTGAAAGGGAAGGAGAGAGAGAGAGAAAAAAAAAAAAAAAAATTAATAA